TGTACCCAAATTATGTACTAATGTAACTAAATAATTTGAAAATCAATCTTACCAAATTTAATAAAAACCCGGTAATATAAATCCGACCACATCAAACTATGTTTGAGCCCGTTACATACATATACATTGTAATTTGATTGTACTGTATATCGATATGTAGAAATTTGCGTAATTTTACATATAAGTTTCTGGTATATAATATTTGTATGTAAATAGCGTTGGCCCAAAATTTCGTAAAGCTGACATATGAAGTCTTGTAGTGCTGGTAAAACTTTCGCACTATTTAATTGCTAATGTAAAAGTTACGTACGTACGTACTTACGTGCATACGTACAATTTTGTACGTATTATTCCGAAATTACAAACTTAATCGAATCGGCTGGAGTACCATTCGGTCAATTTTTATCAGGTGTTCCAGAATAGCAGTAAAGTGCATTTTCCAATGTACTGCCAGCAGTCAAAGAAATGGAATTATTTTTAAAATATAATGAGGTCAACGTTTCTTCTTGAAAAATACTTTCGCCTTTAGCCGAAATATTATTTTCTGAGATCTATATTTTCTAAGATCTTGTTTGTGTGGAGTGCTCCTCTGAAGCTTTTTCAGTTCATATAGCTAATTGATGACTCTGGTATTTAAATGATTTGTGCTTTTTTTCGATGTATGATCTTGAAGGATTCAGAAAAGCAATATTGAAAGAGATCAACTGTTCTTGGATTTATGAACGAAAGAAGCATTTTTATAATTTTAGGGTTAAGCGAAATGTTCACCAATTTCTTGTCATAATATTTATACGATTATTCTAAATCAAAACCGATTTATAAGAGCACAATGGTAATCTTTTTTAAGAGCAGAGCTAAGTTTTTTTAAAAATGTATATATTGGACCGAAATTTTTTTAAAAAATTTGTATTTCAACGAGGTTTTTTTTTAAGAGCGTATGTAGTAATAAAGTAATGGAACGACAAATTAGCCGTGCAAGAACTCGTGTATTTATATGATTTTGATACTGTGTAATGCTGATTCAGTATTGTAAATTCTATTCATTTTAGTCTATTGCTCTATTGTAAAGTTTATTTATTTATTTATTTACATCTCCTGATTAGTAAATTTTTATATTCAAGTATATAGAATCATGATCATGTAGGTGGCTTCGCCGCCTATAATAAATATGTTAAAAGATAGTAGATTTGTTTTTGTTATTTTTATTTTGGAAAGAAAAATTTTTCTTATCACCTGCGTAACATCCAATAACTAATTTCTATCCAAATGTTATTGGTAAATTAATATAGTGAATGTGGCGAAGCATGAATTTACTTGATCTCTGCTGTGTTGGTCGGGGGCTGAGGGGCTGAGTTCCATGATTCTTTCGTTTTAGTTTTTTCGCTATGTTCTTTGACGATCAGTGATTATCAATTCATCATACGGCAAAAAATCAGAAGAAAAAAAGGTAAAAAAATTAAAAATAAACTCAAAAAATAGAATCATAATTTTTAGATGGGAGAAGGCTGTTTTATTAGGATTTAAGTTGTCTTAAGTGATTCGAATTTTTTTCTTTAACCATAAACGTCTACACGCACATGTAGATGTAGATGTATACGGCAGGAGTAAAAATTTCTTTTCTGGGATATTGCAAGAAAATTGTTTTTTATTGATTCCTGCAAGATAGAGTATAATATACCAAAATAGTATAGGCATATCGATATATCATAATGAAAGAAACACATACTACATGTCACATTATAATGTCAAATACTGTCCGTAAGGATAAACAGGGCAAAATTAGAAATGGTTAATGATCGGAAATGAAGGTTAATGTGTATCGATATTACAGTAAAGGTTGACGCTAATTGACAAATATAACAAACGTATTAATATTGCTAATAAGATTAAAGTATCGAGATTCCTAAAAAAACTATGAAGAATTATTTAGGCGAAATTACATCTATTTTAGACTCCAAAGAAAGTTGTGATAAATGATTCAGTCACTTTGTATCATGTCATGCTTATGAAATTATGTTTAATAAATTATACTCGAGTATAACAAATTTTTACAAATATCAATTTATTTATTCATTTATTTTTTTAAAGAATGAGACCTGGTTTCGGTTTTTTATTGATAATTTTGTAAATAGTTTACAAATTAATATCAGAATATTTTACATATGTGTGATATTTAGCTAAAAACCTATAACTAGAACTACTTATAGACTCTACTAAAAAAAGGCATCAGTGCATCACTTAGCTTGTGTCTTTAAAGATGAAATTTGGAGATGCGTTGTGTGTAATATAGCTTAGCCCATTCTAGCCATTTGTTGTGAGTATGTTGCTATCGTCGTTGGTTGTGTAATTTATTTTTTAATAGTGGCTTAATTTTAACTTATTAGCAATTTTTAAAAAATGGATGGTATTTTGAATATAATTAATTAGCCAATATCGAAGATTATGAATTCGTCATTTTATTATGGGAGAATATTTTATGCTATATAGAAATGTTTTTAAATATTATGAACTAAGAATTCTTCAGTATTACGAACTTGATCCGTTTGCGGTGAAGGCCAGATTTTTTTAGGCAATCGGAATAGATATTCGTAATATTCCTGTCCTTCAAGCTCTCTTTATCTTTCTTTGGTCATTATAAGTTACAACAAGGTTTTACGAGTCAAAAATTACACTTTATAATCCATAAATATTACAAAGTCAAAAAAAAAAAAAATAAGTAGCAGTAAAAGAACACATTTTTTGATATTTTAATCACCAGCATCAGTTAAATTATCAGTCTCGCGTTTAGACTTGGCTCGAGTCATTTTCAATCGGTAGAGATTGAAAAAAATTGCGTCAATCACAATAATAACCTACATAATTTAAACATGGCACATAACATATATAATAGTTTGAGAAAAAAATATAGATAATTATTTTTGAACCCGGACCAATTTAATATATATGACATAATAACATTTTAGTCTGGATTCAAAAATAATTAATCATATTTTTTTTAATTATGACACAATAGTTTTAGTATATAGTGAACTAATCAGACTTGAAAATTTTAAATCATGCAAAATAAAAGTTTACTATATATTCACGTTTGTTGCCTCTCGTTATAGTGGTAATTTTAATTGTATCTGAACTTTTGCATCATTCATTATTATTAATATATACAGTATTCATGAAATATGGATGCTATCGCACAAGAACATTGGGTACGGTTTCGCGGTCATTTTTGTTGTATATCACTTTAAACTAACACTGTTAAAATAAAAAGGCATCAAAATGGGTTGAAAGTCGAATTGGTCAAATCCCAGAAGGTTCTTGGATGGTTGGAGGCAACGCAATTGGTCGAGGATGGTATGAAGAAGGAAGGCATGTTGGATATGTTGTTCCTGGTCGTGGTTTAGTCATCGGTTATAATGGTAATGAAGTCACGTTGAATCAATATGAAGTTCTTTCTGGTGATCAATCTCAGTATCGTTGGATTGGAGGGTAAAAATTTTTTGCCTTCATATGTTGCGACTATATTTTTTTAATTATCTAAAATTATAAATTCTATTTAGTCGAGGTCCATGTCGTCCAAAACATTTTGTTCCTCTCTTCGGAGGTCACGAAGCGGTAAATATATTAGCACATATTGTTGATAAATTTTCATTATAATCATATTAATTGAACTATTTTAGGATCGTAGAGAATTATACATTGCTAAAACTTGGTACAATGATCAAGAAATTGTCGGCAAAGTTGGTCCAGTATGCTTAAAAAAATATTTTACTTCTAATTTCTTTTTTTGTTTTTTTTTTTCAAAGTTATAATTTAATTTTTATGTGTTAGCATCTAGAAAAAGGGATGACCTTCGGCATGAATGGCTATGAAATTGGTGCTTACGAGTATCAAGTTTTGGCATTGTTAGGTTAATTTATCAAGCTTATAGAATTATATAATTAGTTTGCCATTTGAAAATTATAGTTCAATTTTTGTATTGCGGAGATGGATTACGTATATGTGTTGTAAGTCGAAATAGAATCTCTCTGAAGTTGAAATCCGCTTATGTGAATTCTAAATATATTTAAGTTGGGATGAACTTTTAAATTCACTCGGATGGATAAAGAATTTTCAAACCAACCTAAAGTTGATTCTAAATTTATGCACTGATATTTTTTGAAATTATAAGCGATTAAGACCATAATCAAATTTGAAGATTTTGATAGCAAAATTTACACAAAGCTCTAGCAATAAATAATTGCAAAACGCATAAGTACTAATTATATACATTAGATTCCTAACATTACAAGTTAATTGCATTCAGATTTGTACGGTTATTATTGCTCGGATGTCAACTCTTCTACAAGACATCTTCGCCTTTTTACATTTGCATTGATTTTTTTTTTACACCGCTTTTTAAACTACATTTTACAGGTTGTGCATGTGACGCTTCAATTCATAAATTGATCAGGCCCTAATAAAGAATCTTCTGTTGCATTGTAGAATATTTGACTTACATCCAACTTGATACATGTTATTTTATAAAATTTCAAGAATTTTGCATGGAAGAGTAATACGGTCACTATGTATTTGATTGTATTCGGGAATATTGAGGTGGACGAAATCACCAATTCTATATTTGTTTTGCTTGCTGTGATTTCATATTGGAATGGAAGCTTTTTCGTATTACACAAGTTGTACAATTTTTTGCAAATTCTTTCATAAATGGTTACTCAGAAACCTATTAATTGATTATACTGTATTGCTTTTAATGAATAGTGATAGAATAGTTGTTGACAAAACCCAATTAAAATAAATTTACATACCGCATCTATAACTTTGAATAACTAATATATTTTAAAATGAGGGTTTGGGCCCCGTAGCTTATTGGTTAAGCTCCCAAACCCCACAGACAAGGTCAACGGTTCGAGTCGGGCTGGTGGCAAATTTTCGAATTTGTTACTG